TATGCCAGGCCTTTGTAACTATCTGCTTGTGTGTGTACTGATTTTTATATTCATTGCATTTCTAGGGCGTAAGAAATATTATTATATTCACTTAACAAATGAGGAAACTGAAGAACTGAAAAGTAACTTGCTCAAGGATTAACAGCTTACAAATGGGTGAATATGAAATCAAGTCCAGCTTGTTTTGGTCATAACATCCAAATATTTGGAAACAATATGACACAATAGCTATGGGATCTAAACACAACATCAGTAAAGTACTGTGTAAGCATGGAAATCCATGTGTGTGGGTACACATATGTATGCATATCAACACATACATCATATGTGTGGATCTGAATATGTCCATACATGTAGATGATCATGTGTATATATAGAGAAATAAACAGAATGTGATACAGCTCCTCAAAATTTCCCTCTAGATTAGCATACATTGATACTTCTTTCCTAATCCAGTCTTTAATATAATATACAATTTCCCTATTCCCATATTCCCTCTACATTAATCAACGGACCTTTGGAATTTTATTATAAGCCAGAGCTCTCCTTCTCCCTTGATGATTGATGTATTGATTCAATCTATTTATAATTCCATATGGCTAAATTAATTTCTACTTCTTCAATGCATGATAGTTTTTAATTGTACTTAATCATTTGGATTGTGATCCCATCAAATTCAGATCAAAGCCAATGACACAGGCGAGGGCACTTTTTCTTGACACTATAACCCTAAGATGCATCCATGGGATCCAACTTCTTTTAGGTTGCCACCTTATCTTGCAAAGATCGCTCACTTCTTTAACCATATTGTTTAAATATTTATATTATAGATATTCTAATTGAACATTAGAAAAAGTGATAAAGTTACAATTGAAGAGAAGACAAAGATGCTCAGCAAATAATCAATATTTAATTACAAACTTGAAAAATACTAGCAAAAAAATATACAACTACAATATGATACAGTGCCAGGAATCATGGAAGAGTTCCATAAAAAACACCAAGTGAAACCAGAGTTCTGAAGACAGTGGAGAGTTATTGCTTTCTAAAGAACTCTATGGTGAATTTGTTATTGTCAGCATTTTTACAGAGAAGTGACTTATGCTGGCTCTGGTGGTAGGACTTAAAGCTGAATGTTTGAGTTGAGGTTAGCTCCACAGCCTGTACTCATGATCATAGGTTATAGGATGAATATAAATGGTGGAGAAATGCAAAATAAATAAATAAATAAATAAAAAACAAAAATAAATAAGTAGAGAAAATCAAGGAACAAGAACTACAACAAAAGTTAAGGGATAAAAGTTTTAAGAAAAACATAGGCATCAAGCTGAATTCTGGTGGACAATCAAACAAGATAAGGAAAAAAAAATGCCCACTGTGTTTAGCAACATGTCCAAAGGGACCCCTCCTGACAGAGGGATGGAAGTAGAATCCACTTTAAATTAGCAGATAAGATTGGAAGAGAGGGGAAGAGAAAAAAATCAAGATACAGATGTCTCTGAAAATTTAGTTTATATGGGATGAAAGCAAATAAATCAGCAACTAGTTGGAAAATATAAGCCCAAAACATTTTTGTTTCATTTAAGGGAAGATAAAGGCTGGGCATTGTCTAGTGCTTGTGGAAAGAGTACTAAAAGGAGAGGTTGAAAACACAGGAGAGATTAATCTATGTTGATATTCAATGTTGCTAAATTCCAAAGACAGCATAAATAATCAGGATATAGGTTTACAAATGAAGGCTGCTTGAGATATTGAGGAAGAGAACAGCAAATGTACCTGGAAGAAATAAAGAGAAAAAAGAGCAGGTACTGGCCAGAGCACAAACTGGGAAGATGGAACCCAAGGTGAAAGATCTATTGAGGTGGTCTAGCTTGGATCAAGGATGCGTGAGTCAGAGGCATTTGATCAGTGCAAGAAAATTGGTGGGGGAAACAGAGATTTGTAGGCTTCATAGAAGTTTGAAATAGTCGGTTCAAGGAATGGGAAGTAGAGCATAGTAAAGGGGAACACTGCTGGGTAGAGCAAGACCAGGAGATGAAACCTTGGTACAATCACAGTGATGCCAGTTGCCCCACATTGTGTTGTGTTAACAGTGTTGAACTGCATAAGTAAATGTACTAATAATGTAAATATTTACTTATAGAATCCAGACTCAGGAAGAAAAAGAGTCTTAAGTAGCAGGTGTATATGTGGTAATTTCATATAAAAAATGTGTCTTGAGGATGAAGACTTTGACTTTTTTTCTTAATTCAAGATGTCCACATTCTGAATTAATTTTTGTACAGATGACACATAATGATGTTTTTGGCATTTGGTCTTCACTAACTCCTGATATTTGTAATCATGCCATGTGTTTCAGCTTCTCAGATAAAAATCTCTGTTCTTCCTTCCTTCCTTCTTCTCTCTCTACTATTATTTTTTATTGCCTCCTCTCCTACCTTCTGTCTTCTCTAATACTCCTTTCTTTCCACCATACTTATACAGAAAGAATTTTCAACCCTGGTTATAAATTAAAGTTATCTGGGGAGCTTCTCAAAAGCTAACTAGTTGAAATCAATTCAGAATATCTGGTGCTGGTTCCAGGCATCAATATAACACTAGGAATATGAACAAATATGATTCAGAATCAAAACATCAATGTCACACTAGGTATATGAACAAATATGATTCAGAACCAAAAATTCAATAAAATAGTTGTTTTTCATATATATATATATATATATATATATATATATATATATATATATATATA